TGGGGGAAAAGTTGGAAAGGGGGGAAATAACTGGGGAACAGGGGGCTCATAACCAAATGGGGACAGCCCGTCTCAAATCCCCCATTCGGGAAAAACTGCCACCAGCACATATGGGATTTCGGGTCGACAGGGGCTGGGGTCACCAGGTATGACAGCGGGCACGGGGTCACCAGCATCATCATTGGCTTGCCACGGCCCCACCGGTCATCTGAAAGGCTTGGGGCCCCGGGTCACCAGGTATGACAGCGGGCTCGATCATTTGGCACGACAGGGGACGGGATCAGGACTTCATTGGATCAACAGCGGGAAAATCGGTCAACGGCCTAATGGGATCGTTGGCGGGATATTTCATCATGCTGATAGAGGTTTCGGGCCGGGGAGAGGCTTAAAGCAAAAGGGCTTCAGGGATAGAGGCATCGGGCTGAGTAGAGGTTTCCCGGTGAGTAAGGCATCAGTCTAAACCCAAGGAAGGGCGGCTCCCCGGTTTTGGGAAAAGGCGGGAGGTATTGGTTTGAAAGAATTTTTGCTTTTTTCTGGTTTTAACTACGGGAGCCTGCAAGAAACGAAAAGGTCTCAAACAAATGGGCGCGGAGACAGAGAAAATGGGGGATGGAACAGGAGGGGGAGCATTGCTACGAGGGCTTTTTTACAGGTTTAAAGGAAAAGGTGCGGGGGGGGAACAGGGGCTGCATGCGGTAGATACCCAAGTTACTGGGCTGAATGAGGAGTTTGGGAATACAGGAGAAGAGTTAAACAGGAGGTCTTTGTAACTGACGGGGCGGGTGCAACAATCTGTCCAGTCTGCAGTTGGGTTGAACAAAGCTAGCTTACCAAACCCCTTTTGGGTCAATGACTGCACTGGTTTATAAAAATTCCCTTAGTGTCTTGGTGAACGGGGTAACGCTCCAAAATAACCACACATCCTCTAATAACCCACCAGGGAGTCTACCGGTTGCATAATGGTGGCAAAAATTCATCCTCATTGGGGGGAACCAATAAACCCACCTCTGCACAAACCTAATCAAAGGCTGCTGCACACCTCAGATGAACTCTGCTGCCCTGATTCTACTAGAAAATGGAGCGAGCCGGTATACAGTCTAGCAGTGTCATCAAGAGGATACTCCTTCAGAGTTTGTTAAGCGATACTCCCCTGTCATCAGAACACATAGCATGATATAAAATACTCAACCTCATCCGAGATCCATCCTTTTTTTTTTTTCTTATCCATTCAACAAACCAAGATGGCTTCCCTGTGCAGCCACTTCTGGTCATGGATTGGCCCTTGGGCGTGTAATGTCAGGGCTCCAGGTGTGACCAGAGATGTGTGACTGACGCAGGGAAACGCAGACCTCAGATATGGTTATAAACAGTCTATAAATTATTTAACACTAACAATACATAACATAAACGCAGTGCAATACTAAAACATAATACAGTGCAAACAAACCAAACCAACCAACACACCCACAGAAAACAGTTACATACAAGCAAGCGTCGTCAGCGCAGGCCGGGTCAATATATCAATAGGGCAGGTAGGTACAGGGGGAGGCAAGCGGAGAATGGTCGGGAAAAAAAAAAACAGGAAACAACAACCAGGACAAACACAACACCAAGGCAGAGTCTGTGGGTCTGGCCATCTCTTAAATACCCCAGCATAATCAGTTCCAGGTGTTAGCTGGCTGCAAAGTTGAGTCTCTGATTGCTGGGAGCATCCGCTGGCCAGCCCTGGTACTGCAGATCAAAAGGCAGGTGAGTCCCACCATTGCTGGCCAGTCCATTCCTGACAAGGGGAGAGCGGATATAGTGAATGCGGGGTCAGGGGAGAGCGGATATAGTGAATGCGGGGTCCGGGAGAGCGGATATAGTGAATGCGGGGTCCGGGGAGAGCGGATATAGTGAATGCGGGGTCCGGGGAGAGCGGATATAGTGAATGCGGGGTCCGGGAAGAGCGGATATAGTGAATGCGGGGTCCGGGGAGAGCGGATATAGTGAATGCGGGGTCCGGGGAGAGCGGATATAGTGAATGCGGGGGTCCGGGGAGAGCGGGTATACTGCATGCGGGGTCCGGGGAGAGCGGACATAGTGAATGCAGGGTCCGGGGAGAGTGAATGCGGGGTCCGGGGAGAGCGGATATAGTGAATGCAGGGTCCGGGGAGACCAGATATAGTGAATGTGGGGTCCGGGGAGACCAGATATAGTGAATGCAGGGTCCGGGGAGAGCGGATATAGTGAATGCGGGGTCCGGGGAGGGCGGATATAGTGAATGCGGGGTCCGGGGAGAGCGGATATAGTGAATGCGGGTCCGGGGAGAGCGGATATAGTGAATGCGGGGTCCGGGGAGAGCGGATATAGGCAATGCCGGGTCCGGGGAGAGCGGATATAGGCAATGCCGGGTCCGGGGAGAGCGGAAATAGTGAATGCTTGGTCCAGGGAGAGCGGATATAGTGAATGCGGGGTCTGGGGAGAGCGGATATAGTGAATGCGGGGTCCGGGGAGAGCGGATATAGTGAATGCTGGGTCCGGGGAGAGCGGATATAGTGAATGCGGGGTCCGGGGAGAGCGGATATAGTGAATGTGGGGTCCGGGGAGAGCGGATATAGTGAATGCGGGGTCCGGGGAGAGCGGATATAGTGAATACGGGGTCCAGGGAGAGCGGATAGAGGCAATGCCGGGTCCGGGGAGAGTGGAAATAGTGAATGCTTGGTCCGGGGAGAGCGGATATAGTGAATGCGGGGTCCGGGGAGAGCGGATATAGTGAATGCGGGGTCCGGGGAGAGCGGATATAGTGAATGCGGGGTCCGGGGAGAGCGGATATAGTGAATGCGGGGTCCGGGGAGACCAGATATAGTGAATGCAGGGTCTGGGGAGAGCGGATATAGTGAATGCGGGGTCTGGGGAGAGCGGATATAGTGAATGCGGGGTCAGGGGAGAGCGGATTTAGTGAATGCAGGGTCCGGGGAGAGCGGACATAGTGAATGCAGGGTCCGGGGAGAGTGAATGCGGGGTCCGGGAGAGAGCGGATATAGTGAATGCAGGGTCCGGGGAGACCAGATATAGTGAATGTGGGGTCCGGGGAGACCAGATATAGTGAATGCGGGGTCCGGGGAGAGCGGATATAGTGAATGCGGGGTCCGGGGAGAGCGGATATAGTGAATGCGGGGTCCGGGAGAGAGAGGATATAGTGAATGCGGGGTCCGGGGAGAGCGGATATAGTGAATGCAGGGTCCGGGGAGAGCGGATATAGTGATTGCGGGGTCCGGGGAGAGCGGATATAGTGAATGCAGGGTCCGGGGAGAGCGGATATAGGCAATGCCGGGTCCGGGGAGAGCGGAAATAGTGAATGCTTGGTCCAGGGAGAGCGGATATAGTGAATGCAGGGTCCGGGAGAGCGGAAATAGTGAATGCTTGGTCCAGGGAGAGCGGATATAGTGAATGCGGGGTCCGGGGAGAGCGGATATAGTGAATGCGGGGTCCGGGGAGAGCGGATATAGTGAATGCGGGGTCCGGAGAGAGCGGATATAGTGAATGCCGGGTCCGGGGAGAGAGCGGATATAGCGAATGTAGGATCCGGGGAGAGCGGATATAGTGAATGCGGGGTCCGGGGAGAGCGGATATAGTGAATGCGGGGTCCGGGGAGAGCGGATATAGTGAATGCAGGGTTCGGGAAGAGCGGATATAGTGAATGCGGGGTCCGGGGTTCAGTAACACTTTAAGAGTAGTATATGTAGGCGAATCTGAGATTTTTCTTTTACATGTCTTGGGACAAGATTTCATGTTTTTGGCCCCTTAGTCCTTCACTGTGGGAGCACCTGAAACATACACTGAACATGCTTTCATTGACGTCAATGAGGCCAAAACCACCCCAATCTGCTTCAATAGTGGCTCTTTTACCGTGTGGGGCTTCAAATGTTGAACTGCAGGCGTCTGGACACTCAAATGTACACAGAAACCATTGGAAAGCATGGAATTTTGGTCTGCTGAGCATTTCAGAGTTTTTAGCTCTGAACTACAAAATGTTCAGGTGTTGATGGGGGCTGAGGCTGGTTGTCCTACCACACTGCACAGCATGGTACGATATGTATTGCAGTGCCATTGGTTTACATGGCCGCCCCATACACATGTGCAGTGCATGTTTTTTGGAGCACTGTTTGGACGAAAAATGGTCTAACTGTGGTTTTTGTTTTTTTTACATCATTGGACGTGCCCACATAACCTCGGCTCTGCTGATTGGCCTACAATTGTTGGGCAAAGAGAGGGGCATTCCGCAGGAGGGTAGCTGGAGAAGAGGAAATGGTATTGTTTTACAAATAGCTGGACAGCTGGCACTGGCAGGCAGTTCCTATGCACATTCTTTTCCAGATAGGTCTGCTTCTCCCGGGGATGTCTTTCTGAAGAAATTGGTATGATTATCTCACCAGGCATTTTTTTGTTGCTGCCATGAGTTCCAATGCACCAAAGTCACTGGAAAGGTATGGAGTCACCTTCCTCTCTGCTTCTTCCACCTTTAAAAGATTATTTTCAGGGGAAGAAGCCCAAAGAAATATGTTAGTAACTCCACTAGACCTCATAGACCTATAACCCCCATCTTGAATGGCCTCTGGCAGACCCCCAAATTCCACAGTCCCCAAGGCCAGTCAATTGGCTGAAAGGCATCTGCCTAGAGACAGCACGTGAGAAGGACACATTGTGGTGGACGCCCAAGTGAACACCGGGGGGCTTATTCATGTTGGGCATGTGGCGCTATGGTTTTACCCTCAAAGGTGATTCGTTCTGAAAGTATAAGAGAGGCTGCAGAAGGAGTCTATTGAGGTCAAGGACTATATTAACCATGCAGTTGAGGACAGTATGTCTCATTTTGTGCAATCATCCTCAGTCAAACACATGAGGCTTCCTGACGCCGTAGTGGCTGATGAACCTGGACCCTCTACTTCCAGACAGAATTCACGTCATTCTTCTGCAGAGGAAAGGGCTGATCCATGAATATTTTATTTTGTCATGGTGGCATTATTGTCACAGTTAAAGAAGCGGTACAGATGTGGTTCCATCTACGAAAAGGCAATATTATCCAAGTCAGAAGCTGTTGTGAGGGTTCCTCTGGATCAGCAAGGCATGGGCTTTTATTTGCCAATTTTCCGAGAGGAAAAAAAGCAACTGGAGGCCCACCTTCACATTCCCATTACTTTGATACATCAGAAGTTCCTGTGCTTTGCTGTGAATGGAGTTCATTTCCAGTTCTGTTCTTTCCCATTTGGCTTCTCTATGGCCCCAAAGACTTTTACCAAACTTTGGGTAGCCTTAGTAGCATATCTTCGAATTCAGAGTATTAGTTTACATCAGTATCATGACCTGTTGATTCTAGGAGACTCATACAAGCAAGTTCTGGATCAAAAAGTTGTGGTTTTTCGAACTCTTACCCAGTTCTGGCTCCAGCTAAGGCAATAATTCCAAGCCAGAAGCTGTTGTGAGGGTACCTCTGGATCAGCAAAGCATGGGCTTTTATTTGCCAATTTTCTGAGAGGAAAAAAAAAAACAACTGGAGGTTCATAGCAGCCAGGTCTCTACAGATGATAATTTCAGTAGTTCAGCAGAAAATTTGTATGATCTCTAGATATAACAAATACCACCTTCACATTTCCATTACTTTGATACATCAGAATTTTCTGCGCTTTGCTGTGAATGGAGATCATTTCCAGTTCTGGTCTTCCCCGTTTGGCTTCTGTATGGCCCCAAAGACTTTTACCAAACTTTGGGTAGCCTTAGTAGCACATCTTCGAATTCAGAGTATTAGTTTATATCACTATCACTACCTAGATGACCTGTTGCTTCCAGGACACTCATACAAGAAAGTTCTGGATCACAAAGTTGTGGTTCTTCAAACTCTTGCCCAGTTCTGGTGGTTAGTAAACTTGCCAGCTGATTCCGCAGCACGGGATGGAGTAATAAGGTGTCCTATTCAATTCAGTTCAAGAAAGGGTGCTCTTACCCTGAAGGAAAATCTCAGAAAGAGTGTTTCAGATGGCAACACATGAGTGCAGGAGACTGGTGTTCTTGCCTCTAATGATATCCACCATCTCAGTAGTCCAGTTGGCATAGTGGCATATGCGCTTCCAAGTGTGTTCTGTCCAGCAGTGGCAGAGAAGTAATCTGAGCCAGTTCACTGACACAGGGAAGTAACAGGCTTCAGGAATGATATAATAACAATACAATGTATTATTAGCCACCCAAATATACAACGCACAGTAAACAAACCAACCTTCCACTAATCTTAGTAGGTGCAGGAACACAGGTATAGTCAGGGCTGGAGAGGTGGAATGGTCAGGCCGGCCATATGGTTCTGTTAACGACCGTCTGGTAGTACCTCTAGCAGTCCTCAGGACAGGATTCCCCAGGGCGCGGAGTCTAAGTCCCAGTCTGCTTATTCACCAGGGCCCCTGATGGTAGGGATGGACTTGGAGCAGACAGACAGGAACCAGGTCGTGGCCCCTGAGTACACCTGCTCGTGGTAGAGGGATCCGCCAGGGGTATATACTGATGTGAAGAGGCAGAAGGTGTGAGCAGGGATGGCTGGATCCGTGCAGGATGGATCATCTGGGTAGCGTAAGGCGTAGTCAGGCAGGCCAGGTCAGCAACGTGCGGGCGAGGTACCGAAGGAGCAGGCAGAGAATGGTCAGGGTCACAAGCCGGATTCAGTAACTCACGGGCAGCGCGGTACAGAGGATCAGGCAGAGAATGGTCAAAGTCACAAGCCGGGTTCAGTAACTCACGGACAGCACGGTACAGAGGGTCAGGCAGGAGGATGGTCAGGCAAGCCAAGGGTTAAACAGGAGATGGTCAGCAACAATGCAGAGGTCGGCAACAGAAGATAGGCAGAGGAACAGGAACACAGGATACCAGGTACAGGGGCTCATGGGAAACAACACCAAGGCACTGACTGCAGGCCTGGCCATTCCTTAAATACACCTCCTGCAATCAGCCTCAGGTGATGGTTTGATTGCAGGAGTGAGCTTCTGGCTGCTGAAAGCACCCTCTGGCCAGCCCTGGTACTGCAGCCCACATGGCAGGAAATTCCACCACCAGTGGTGAATCCATTCCTGACACAGAGATCTTCCCTGGTAGCTGTCAGTGGGCAGTCTGGCTCTGGACAGGCCCCTCAGCCCTAGATATTGGATCAGTTAACTCCAGGGTTGTGGTGTCCATTGTCTAGAGAAACGGTTTCATTGAAAGGGGCTGGTCCTTCATCTAACAAATGTTTAGGGTTACCAGCAGTTCTCTAGGCTTTGAGGGAATTTACCAATCTCTTTAAAGGAAAAGAAGTGAAGATCCTAATGGACAACACAAGGATGGTTTGTTGTTGTATGTCACCAAGCAAGGTGGAACAAGAAGCCTGCCTTTGATGCAGGTTGCCTCCAAGATCTTCCAGTGGACAGAGGAGCTTTTTCTGGATCTGACCACAGCCCATCTTCCTGGGTCAGAGATTTTATTAGCTTAGGATGCCACGGTGGCAGTATGGTGTTTCCCTCTGGCCTGTATGTTTCGTTCAAAGCTACTCATTTTTAGGATACTCCTGAAGATTCAAAGGGAGGCAGAGGTAGTCATCATGATACTTCCCTATTGACCTGAGACATCCATGGGTCATTCAAATGGCGATTGTTTCACTGTGATCTTCCATGATGCAGAGATCTTCTGGTTCAAAGGCACTGGCTGTAACACAGCCCAACTCATCTATGTTTGATGGACTTCAGTTCATAGGTTTGTCTACAGAGGTTATTTCTACATTGTCGCAGGCAAGAAAGACTTCTACTAATACCGAACCTGGAAAAAAGTTCTCATCTTTTATAGAAACCAATGGAAAGTCTCCTTTAGACCTATCCGTGGCAGATGTTTTAAAATTTCTTCAGCTTTAGTGGCAGGGTTAAGTTACAGTTGGATGAAGCTCAAGTTTCCACATTGACGGGAACCAAATGGGCATAAAAGTCTTTGATAAAGAGTTTCCTGTGAGCAGCCTTAAAGTTAAAACCTTCAAAGAAGAGATTATTTCCTACCTGGGACTTACCTCTGGTTCTCCAGGCCCTTCTGGAACCACTCCAGGACCGTGGAAGAATACAGCTATATCCTTACCGAAGGAGATATTTCACCCATTCTTGACCCTCCGATATCTAACCTTCACTTCCACACCCGCACCCTGTTCACATGGCAGCAGCCACAATATACATGCTCTAATTTCTATTCCCCTGCTTCCAAGATCAAAACCCTTTTCCTTCTCATGTGCCCTCTGCAAAGGCCGATCCGGCTATAACAATCTCACTCCTATCCAGGACCTTTCTTA